ATTCTTCATATCAATTGGGGTTCTGTAAAAGACAAATTCATGAATTAATGCCACAACAACTGACACAAACCAAAGCGCACATGAAACTGATGGAAAAGCTGACACAGCGACTTAACTTGCAACCCGCGCAAATTCGCCCAAACTCCCAGACGAATTCTGTTGACACTCTGTGCAACTGTATCAACGAACTTAATTACGCCTCAGATCTTGGTCTCACGTTTGCTGCATGGTTCAAACGATGGGAAGATTTGTTCCGCACAGACTTCAGTTGTTAGGACAACTCCTGGAAAGCACTTGTCATCCTCCGAAAACTTGCAATGAACGAACACTCCAGGTTTCTAGATCACATTTTACCGAAACAGCCCAAAGACCTCACTTTCGATGAAACAGTGTCTCAACTTTCCGAGATATTCAGTGAGTCGGCTTCATTATTTAGTGTTCGGTTTTAATGCCTGAACATATTTGAACGCGATATTGATAACTATAGCACATTAACCGGCACCGTCAATCGTGTATGTGAACGTTTTGAGCTACGCTGACTGACGGATGATCAGTTTAAATGCCCTATATATGGTTGGCGGCATCCGCTTTCGGATTTGCCTCTCACTGTGGCCAGCCACACGACGCCTGCGCCTACAGATGGACCATGGATGGCTTGCACTGCACCACACACAGCTCGAACCACACACCTCATATCCATTGTAAACCCGAAGGAATAAGACCGGGAGTCATGTGGATGGGAGCCACGTTTCATCAACGGAGCCAGCCCACACTCGTTCACAGGTAAAAACAAGCACGCTGTATTTGAGCAATCAAGCGCCCACAAGGCGATGGCTGGACCGTAGTCCTCTCCACATCGAGTGCATGGAAGCGCTCTTTGAGCCTAGCCCGGCCACAAGAACCGTGCACCCCGTCCCCTCTAGCAACGACCAACTGTCTCCTGGAGCTAGTAGGGACGAGGTAGTGGGTAATAGACAGGTAGGCACTTTGTCAACATGCACATCAAGAGCAGCCACACCGGGGATTTCAAGCAACAGCCATTCACTTTAAACGACAAGCTGAAATAAAATAAATCCAATAATGCATACAGATATGGTGGCATAACTCTTCCCTAAATTACCATATGAAGTAAGTTGGTCAGCAAGGAATCCGCGATAAGTAAGGAATGTCCACAAGTTACTTAAAAATGTTACAAACGCAACGAAATTACCGCAGATAAGCGCAATTAGCGTAAGCAACTTGGCCAGTTAATAGAAGAGTATTCAGGTAGGCAGACAAACCAACTAAAGTGGAATGAAATTTAGCCAGCTTAAAAAGACCTAGTTTAAGTGTAAGTTGGTTTAGCCCAACTGCGGTGAAGAAGCATCATGAATGCAACATCAGCCTCAGCATGGGGCACGCCCTATATATATATATATATATATATATATATATATATATATATATATATCAACTTTACAATCCCCTGAAGATGCCGAAATTTGCATACACCTACTATCCAAGCTCGACCAACATCCGAACATAACGCTCAACTCTCTTGCAGCTAAGTGTAAGCGCATATTAACCTTAAAACGACAGCGCCCTCAGTGAGCAGAACCCACCAATGCCATCAAGCTCAGTTCATGCTGTGAAGAACAAAATGAGAAAAACGGCGACCAAACGCCGAAGGCAAACGCCCAATATGCTCCCTACTCCATGCTGGTCATACGGAAAATGGCACTTCGCAGGCTTTCGCTCTTTCAAACGACACGTTTACCTAAAAGCGTCATAAAATGGACCACAAAGAGGAATGTTGCATCCGGCTTCGACCACAAACCAGCAAGCAACAGTCTTGCATACGTAAGAACCGTCAAATGTTCGTCGCCAAATCGCTGCCCATTCATGTTGCTTTTCAGACTAATTCTGTGTCTCGTATAAAGTTCGGTACGATGTTCATGAACAAACCTTTAACTCGTTTACAACTTGCTACTGCCTCAGAGATTACCATGGTCTCAAAAAGTACCTGGTACCATATAAAGAAACCCAAGTTGATCGCAACTAATAAAGTAGCCCATAGTGCTTATGGAGGTGTCCTTAATCTTGTCGCACAGTTTATTAGTGAAATCATATTCAAAGATGTTCATAAGATGGCACTTTGTTATCTAACCGACGGACCTACACTTTACTTGCTGGGTATTGATTGGAATGGGAAATTAGGATTACTTGACATCTCGCTAAACATGATATGCAAGCAGCTTCAAATGCATACAGTCACTACGAAGGAACCTATGCAGATGACACAAGCTCTAAAGTGTGAGTTCTCCACCTTGTTTCAAGATTGCCTTAGCCACTGCACAAAACTCAAGGCATCATCAACGTTATGTCCAGTAGCAACACCTGTTTTTAGACCCGAGCGCCCTGTACCTTAAGCTGCTATTCAACCCCATGAGCAAGAACTTGACCGCTTACAGTAGGCTGTTGTCATCACTCCTGTAAACTATTCAACATGGGCAGCACCCATTGTCGTCGTGAAGAAACCAAACAACCAACTACACATCTGCGCTGATTTTTCTACTGGCCTCAAAGCCGCTCTGGACAACCATCAATATTCACTTCCAGGGCCGGAGGATATTTTTGCCAAATTAAACGGGGGGCACGTGCATCACTAAGCTACATCTGTCTGACGCCTATCTCCAGGTGGATGTGGCGGATTATTCCTGGGAACTACTTACAATAAACACTCATCGTGGGTTATTTCAGTATAATCGTTTACCTTTTGGCGTAAAATCGACCCCATCCATTTTTCAGCAGTTAATGGACACCATACTGGCGGGCATCTCTGGAACAGCGGCTTATCTGGATGACATAATTGATATGGGGCAGTGTTACGACTACCGAGGAGGACTGAGCACCTGCTTGATTCCGCCTTGAAAACTCAGAAAAGCGAAGACCACAGCGCAACGTGTATTGATACAAGACCGGGCGGAAGTAGAAGGAAACACACCAGAACCAGTCATTTACAGTCGAATACACATTTGGTTAAATAGGACCCCGGAGGCAAGAGTGGTGTGGGTTTTTGTGTGAAACAGGCGACAGGAACAAAATGTACCACAGCACAAAAACACAGTGTTCGGATTGTGGACACGAATTGTTCCGATACAGAACATGGTTTGTCTTGTAGAATAACACTTGCTTTTTAGACAACACTATGTTCCACTTTTGTGCATAGTTACAAAATGTTTCTGGCAATACTCTGGCACCAGCCAAGTTATACTTCCTGGACATTCCGCCACTTGTGTTCGTTATGACACTACACCTTCCTCCCGCAAAAGAAATGTCAGTCGTACGAACGTTTGTGTGGGTCTACCTGTAGACGCGTAGTTGGCCTCCGGATCCGATCAGTACGTCTTGGTTGCAGATTCGCTTCTTCCGGGACTGTTGCGCACTCCTCGTCAGACACGCTTGGGTTTCTAGGGTGTAGATTGAAACTGTCTAAGAGAACATCAAGGGGTAGAGATGGATTAGACTTAGTCTCTGTAATACTAGTGGGTCTCAACTGATTTGCGTGTCTAGTCCAGATCAAATCACCTACCTTGATTTTGTATATCACCCTTCCTATTTGGTTCTGAATCGTACCAGTTGCCCAGAGCGGCTTACCCATGCGATAATCTCTGACCAAAACCATCTGTCCTGCGTGAAAATGGCGTTCTTGAGTTCTATTTCGCTGATTATAATACTTCTCCATCCTTATATTTCTGTCTTGTGGACTAGTGCTCTTCGGTAGTAGCAAGGAATTAACCGTGCGGATTTTCCTTCCCATTAGAGCCTCTGAGGGTGACGCGTTGTTTGGCACTTGAGGGTTTGGGGTTGATCTGTACATAAGTAGGAAAATATCTAATATCTCCTGCGTAGTTCCCTCGCCCCGCATTTTAACTAATGTACGCTTGAAGGTATCAACAAAACGTTCAGCTTGTCCATTTGATTGGGGATGGAACGGGGGCGTGCGTAAATGTGTAATACCAACCTGCGAACAGTATTCGGCAAACTGGTAGGAAGTAAATTGGGAACCATTGTCGGTGACTAAAATCTCCGGTATCCCATGGTGGCTGAATAGTGTTCCGAGTACTTTAATGGTGGCGCCACTGGTTGCATGCTCCATCGGGAAAACCTCAGGCCATTTACTGTAAGAATCTACAACGATGAGGAAGTGCTGTCCATTGACAGGGCCAAAGAAATCCGCATGTATGCGTTGCCAGGGTTTAGTCGGCAATGGCCAGGAAGCTAATTCGGTTTTCCGCGGTGATTTACTGACAAGCGCGCACCGTGAACATGTCTTCACCAAGCGCTCGAGGTCCGCATCGATGTTTGGCCAATAAACGAAACTTCGAGCGATCGTTTTCATTCTGCTAATACCGGGATGACCACGATGAAATTGCCGTAAAATACGCTGGCGAAGTTCCACCGGAATGACTACTCGATCAGCTAGGAGCAGACATTCATTAACGACTGATAGTTCATCTTTTCTTAGGGATAAGTTGTGTAACTCCCCCGTAAGGTTATCTTTGGGCCACTGTGTTGTGTGGTATTTTATTGCCTGTTGAATGATTGGATCGCGGGTTGATGCGACACGAACCATTTCAAAGGTAATCGGAAGCTTGCGAAGAGTCTCTATCAGCACTTGGCTTACTTCTGATTCTAAGGATATGGTTGCGATGATGGAGTCCTCTCTCTGAGGTTGGTGATTACCTAACAACCGTGAAAGTGCGTCAGCCTGGCCTATGTTCTTTGTGGAAACGTACTTAATTTCAAAATCATAGCCAAGTAACGTGATAGCCCAACGTTGCAGCCTGTTTGCTGTATAAACAGGTATGCCTGACTTTGATCCAAAAATTGCTAGCAATGGTTTATGATCAGTAAGGAGGGTGAACTTCCTTCCGTATAGCATCTTATGGAATTTCTTTACAGCGAAGACTATTGCCAGGGCCTCCTTCTCTATCTGACCGTAGTTTCGTTCTGCTGGGGTTAATGACCTGGCTGCGTGCGCAATAGCTTTCTCTGAGCCATCTGGGAACTTATGGGAAATAACTGCTCCAACACCGTAGTTTGAAGCATCCGCAGCTAGCAAAATTTCCTGGGTGGGGTTGTAGTGTGTCAACAAAAGGTCGGAACACAACATCTTTTTTACCTCCTCAAATGATTTTTGGCATTGTTCAGACCAGTACCAGCGCTTATCGTTGCGCAGTAGATCATTAAGTGGACCACGTACACGATGCATCTGTGGAAGGAATTGGCTATAGTGACTGATGAGGCCCAAGAATGATCTCAATGTTGAAACGTCTGTAGGAGGAGACATTCTCTTAATTACTTCCAAGTTCGAGGGGTCAGGCCGCCTACCGTCCTTGTCAATAATGAACCCCAGGAAGGTGATTGAATGCATGAAAAACGTGCACTTTTCAGGATGGAGTCTGAAGCCGTATTCCTGAATACGATCAAGGATTCGATCTAGCTTGTTAAAAAGATCATTTACACTTAGTCCAACAACGATAATATCATCCAAGTATGCGGCAGCGCCATCGATATCAGTTAACATGGTGTCCATGATTTGTTGAAATATGGCCGGCGCAGTTTTGACACCAAATGGGAGGCGGTGATATTGATAGAGACCTCTGTGAGTGTTTATTGTAAGTAACTCCCTAGAGGGTTCATCAACTTCGATTTGAAGGTATGCATCTGATAGATCTAACTTTGCAAAACATCTGCCACCGTTCAGTTTAGCAAACATGTCCTCAGGGAGTGGTAAGGGATATTGGTGGTTGTTGAGGGATGCATTTAAGCCTGTAGAAAAGTCGGCGCACAATCTAATTTGACCATTAGGTTTTTTAACCACCACGATCGGGGCTGCCCAGGAGGAATAGTTGACTGCATGAATAACGCCAGTTCTCTCTAGGCGGTCTAGCTCTTGGTCAACAACTGGAATTACGGCATAAGGCACGGGACGTTTAGGACGAAATATCGGCACAGCATTAGGTTTGAGAGATAACGAAGCAAGGACTTTTGTACACTTACCGAGTCCTTCAGAAAAAACAGTGCGGTATTTCTGCTTTAGGCGTTCAATTGCGATTGTTTCCAAGGACTGTGGGCCGTGAAGTCGGACGCTTGCACAAACGTAGTTTAGGGGAATATCCAGGAGATTGAAACGCTCAATCCAATCTAACCCCAACAGGTTCAAATTACTGTGGGTTGTGATGAAAATTGTCCCCCATGCAGTAAAACCGGCAAAGCAACATTCACACTCAATTTGGCCAAGGAGCTTCAGTTGGGTACCTGATGCGCTTTTCGCTTGGTGAGTAGTTGGTTTGATGACGGGCGATCCAAGGCTTTTCCACAGGGTCTCCGAAATAATTGTAATGTCAGAGGCCGTGTCGATTTGTAAACGCGCTTGTCTTCCATTGATATCAATAGTGATGTATTTTCGTCGATTAGTAATAGGCTGAGAAAAATTGGCATTCACTCTTTTCGAACGCGGACCATAAGTCTTCATGCGCGCATTATGAAGTGGTCTGGATGGAGGTCTGGATCGACAGTGTGTTTCTTTGTGTCCACACTTGTGACATTTCTGACAGACATGCTTCCTGTATGGACAAAATTTCACAAAATGCCACTCCCCACACTGCCAACAAACGGAAGGTGGTTTGCGCTGATGGAATTCCTTATGATGAATTACCGCAGTGTTGGTATTTGAAGTACTTTGTACTGTTGCAACAGAAGGGGATGTTTCCGATTTTTCCACCAGGGCTGTGTCATGTTTCAAATTAATAAGTCGTTGAGCTTCTGCGATAACGACTGGCAAAGTTATCTGAGGGTCACGTTCTAGCATGCCAAGTATTCTGGTGCGGATTTCAGCATCATTTGGAGATTGAAGACTACAGACAAGTATCAAACACTCGAACTGATCTTCCGTAAGTAGGTTGAGTTTAAATTTTTGACATTGCCGTTTGACTGTGGCCGCGTGAGCAATGAGACTTTCACCATCGCGTCTACACAACTTTAAACAATTGTATCGGTTATTAAAGAGTGAGGACGGATCTCCAAATATTTCTCTAAGTTGGGTAACAGTGTCGTCAAAGTTAAGATCATTCGCATGCTTTGGTAAGATATAATTGACGTACCTCTCATGCTCAACAGCACCGAGCTTCCGTAACAATACGCGGACCTTTGATGGGTCGTCAAGGTTTGAGAGTTCCGTTCTGAATATGTCTTCATATCGGCGGAACCATGTGTCAAATATCAGCCCAGAATCAGGGTCAAAGCTGAACTCCGTGATGCCGTTGATAAGGGAATCAACCGAAGGTTTGCAGTGATCATTGGTTGTTGCAGGTTGGAGAGATAAATTGCGTGTGAGGGTCTCAATAAGACGTAACTGGGAGGTTTCAAATTGCTGCTGCTGCTCAGACAAAATGTTTTTCAGGTACTCGAGGGGGAATGCCATTGTGATCAAGGGTACCTCCTTCACCAGAATCTGTTACAGGCAGACTAGGACCGATCTATTTAACACTGGATAAATAGCTTACCCGAATACAGGAATATGGTTTCTGTCTACGTGATGACAAGTGTGATTTCTTTTTAACTTAATCAAACTGCTAGGGTTTATCCTCAATAACGATGGTCGACGCCCAACTCCGGAAAATATAAAAACGATCCAGAACATGCCTCCACCGTCGGATCTGTCCTCCCTTCGTTCGTTCTTAGGACTTGTCAGTCATTATAGCTCACTTTTGCCAGAAATGCATCCCCTACGCGCACCAGTGAAGCAACTAATTACCAAAATTAATTTTTGGATGTTCGTGAGTAGTGAGTGAGCCAATGTGCAACATCAGGACAGGTACTGGGAGCCCATTGGCAATACGTCGCGCACCAAGCAGAAGTCATGTATTAAAATTTGCGCACCTAATCGTCAGCCCTCGGTAGCTCAGTGGTAGAGCAGCGGACCGGAAATTCGTGGACCGGGGTTCGATTCCCCGTCGAGGCACATTATTGTGCGTGAATTTTAATCGTGACTTCTATTTTCTATAATTACCAAAGGTTCTACGTGGAATTGGTCGCCTCAATGTGGTTGTTTTTAGAGCGACTAAGTCATTGCTAACTTCAGATCACTTGTTGACACATTAAGATCTTTCTCGGGACATTGTTGTAGCCTCAGATGCATCCAACAATTGATTTCGTGTGGTCAAATCCCATAGTTTCGCAGACGGTTCTCAAAATGTTATTGCAAATGCTGCTAGATCTCTCACAACCGTTGAAAAGAACTAGTCAGATTGAAAAAGCGACTTTCGTTATCATTTACTCTGTAAAGAAATTTCACAAGCTTATGTACGGATGCCATTTCGAGTACCATACAACGCGGTATATGGAAATTTTTGAGCTTGCTGTCTTTTTGAAGTTTTACTTTCAAAGGACAGTTTTGGAACAGTGTTTACAAGTGTCCTGCCACAAAAGTTGACTTTTGTCAAACTTCGGTTCATCAAATAATTCTGGATCACTGTTTTCCCGGGATTATGTCGTACTCGTGCTCGGGTTTTTACCAAACGTCTTCCATCTTTTCGGGTTTCGCCTTTGGCTATTTTTCTGGTATTTGTTGTGCTTTGTAATCAGTGTTTCACTTTGTCTTAACCCGTAACTGTTTCTGTTGACTGCCCTTCAGGCAATAGCTCGTCAGTTTTACGTTTTGACAATTGTTTCACACTCTTTGAAAGCCTCATGTCGGATTCACTGAATACCGGCTCTAATGTGTCTTCGGCTACGTTGATCAGCGAATCTAATGCTGTATGCAGCAGTGTGAGCTGCTCAAAGCCCGTGGCGGACGAGTCTAGTGGAATGCAGCGCTATGTATGCAATTGCTGGTACCATGAGACCTGTGCCGATTTGAGCCATGATCAGTACGCAATGCTCTCGACTAGCGATAGCATGCTGTTCAATTATCTTGTATGCCTTGTAATGAGGTCACAGAGGAGACATCGAGCAACGTCGGGCTGGGTAACCAGCAGATGTGGTTTTCCTCACATCTTTTGATCGTAAAGTGGAGTTACTGATGAGGAATATGGGAGTCTCTATTGATGTCGGCTCATTGGAGGAAGACACGCAACTAACCTCAATTGCTATCGATGACAAACGGACTGAGGTGATGGCTGCCGTGTTCTGTGCCCCAGCGGTCCTGAATGCCTCTATAACGAGGACTCTGTTGTACTGGACGTCGTCCAAGGCAAGACCGAACTTCTATCCCCTGTGCCCAATAAAAGCAAGAGGAAGAACGCTAAGAAAGTTCGTAAGGCCCCCTCAAAGCCTGAAGGTACTGAGCCCATAAACGAATTGGAGGTAAAGCACAAAGCTCCAACTTCAATCACCCCAGTTCCATTAGCGAAGAAATGCGCCATGTCGACTTCGGCCACACTCGCAGTCTGAAAAGACTAGACCGGTGATGGAGTTGGAGGTAGAACACAAAGCCTCAACCTCAATTACTCCAGCTCCCTTGGCGTAGAAACGCGCTGTGTCACCTGCCAAACCGTTCGAAACTGGGGTCGAGTTGACGACTCGTGGAGTGAATACGCCTCGTCGAGGTGATTCTTTTACTGATAGCAGCGTTATCTTCCGTAACGTTGCTGAATCCGCGGCAGCTCTTCCCAAGGAACGCATGCTGTATGACCTCCAGTGGTTCAAGCTCTGCGTCAACAAGATGCTTCCACCTGGTTTCCCCGGTGTCACTATCAGAAAGTTAACCAGACTGGGGAACGTCCCTGTCGATACACTAAATCCGCGACCCCGACTACTTCGTGTAGTCTTCTCAACCCCGGAGGAACGCAAAGCGTTAATGCGCTTTGCATTCAAACTCAAGGGTAGCAATGTCAGCGTTCAGCCGGATCTCCCACTGGCAGATCGACTGAAGTTAAAGGAAGCCATCAAAAGCCTCAAGAGCAGGTGGGCAGCTGATGAGCAAGGCCTTCGTCTTGTGGGTTTTCAGGTGGTCAGCCGGAAGTCAAATTCTGCCCTACCAGAACCCCTCTTGGCAGCGTACGACCCAGGGCTGGTCGTGCCGAGTTTCTTCGGGTAGTGCTTAGCAATGTGCGTAGCCTAAGGAACAAGGTAGACGAGGTGGGTCTACTTGTAGACAAATCTCGTCCCGACATACTTGCTTTCACTGAAACGTGGTTGTCCCCGGATATCACAGACGGTGAAGTATGTTTACCTGGCTACGCACTGCTTAGATGTGATCGCTCCGTTGACCGCCAAGGTGGGGGCGTCGCTCTTTATGTGAGTTGTAAACTTCATGTGTTGAGGACCTGTGTTTTCCAGTCGCCGGATCAAACTGTTGAAGCCCTGTCGACTATTGTGTGCACTTCCTCTGCTCAGTTTACAGTTGTAGTGGTATATCGAAGTCCTGGAAGTATCTCCAGGGAGGTTATTGAATTTATTCGTACTCAGGCTGCCAATAGGTGTCTAATACTGGGTGACTTCAACCTTCCTGAAGTCTGCTGGGCTGATCTATCTTGCAGTTCGGCGGTGGGCACTTTCGGTTCGGATCTCCTCGAGCTAACGTTGCAACTTCCTTTGCATCAGTTCGTGGACCTCCCGACTAGATATATGAGCAACCAACTTCCGTCTACCTTGGATCTCATTTTTGCGAAGTCACACGATTTCGTAAGTGATATTACATACGGCTGTCCTCTAGGAGCCAGTGACCATGTCTGCATATCCTTTCGATGTGCTCTAACTAATTCATCAAGCTACCGCTGAGGCATGTCCAAATATTTGGCGGGCAGACTTTAACGCAATGCGAGACAAAGCTTCAGTTCTGCGTTGCGCGATCACCGTGGCTGACACTGTTGAGACAGCCTGGGAGAAATTTAAGGCATACCTCACCGAGATCTCTGCTCCCCACATCCCACTCATTAAGAAAAGGGAGACACGGGCGCAGCCTCCTTGGATAGATCATACAGGTAAATACCTGCTCAGGAAGCGCTCTAAGTGCTGGCGAACTTACCAAGCGGCTTCATCAACCAGCACCTACGAAAGCTATCGAGCGGTTAGAAATAAATGTAAGCAACATCTTAGGACTCTTCGTCTTCAGTACGAGAAGGATTTGGCTGACGCAGCCGCAACAAATCCAAAGAAGTTCTTTGCTTACGTAAAGAGACGCAGCGGTACAAACTCGTCTATACCGGCTTTACTACGAGCGGACGGGACCCATGGGCATACCGACTATGATAAGGCTTGTATACTTAGCGAACAGTATACTGGTGTCTTTTCTCGTGAGGCCTCTCTACCTCAGGTTGAGCTGGTCACAAAAGTCCCGGAGGATTCTTGCCTAACTGAAATCAGCATAACGGAGACACAAGTCTTCGGGCTATTGCAAGGGCTAAATCCTTCCAAAGCTTCTGGCCCTGATTCAATTCATCCGAAGCTGATGCATGAATTGGCCGCTGAGCTAAGTGGCCCTCTGACATGCATGTTTACAATATCGCTCGACAGCTGTGCCTTACCTTCGGAATGGAAGGAGGCAATCATCTGTCCGATTTTAAGGGCGGTGACAGAGCTCTGCCCGCGAACTACCGGCCTGTCAGCTTGACAAGCGTAGTAGTTAAGTTGTTTGAAAAATTGGTCAGGGATTCGGTGGAGAATCACCTGATTAAGTTTAACCTTCTCAGTGCTGCACAGCACGGATTCCGTAAGGGATTTTCGTGTCTGACAAATTTACTTGTAGCCCGTGAAAGCTGGGCTGAGGCAGTAGACAACGGTCACGCTATCGACGTGCTTTTCGTTGACTTCTCGAAAGCCTTTGATACTGTCCCACATCAACGACTCTCATTGAAGTTGAGATCGTATGGGATATCTGGAGCCGCCCTTAAATGGGTGTCTGCTTTCCTAGAGGAGAGAGAACAGTGTGTACGCGTGGGGCGTAGCCTTTCGCTTAGACAAGCTGTTCTTAGTGGCGTTCCGCAGGGCTCGGTTCTAGGGCCGTTGCTTTTCGCAATTTATGTCAATGACCTACCCCAGGAGCTTGAAGTACCGTCGCTATTGTTTGCTGATGACCTCAAGCTCTGGAATATTGTGGATATCCCTGGGGGCTCTGAGGCAATTCAGAGTGCCTTGGATAGGCTCTGGGATTGGTCAACCTTATGGTTGATGCCTATAAATCAGGCGAAATGTTCTGTCCTCCGCATTGGAGGTGCTAGTCCCCCCACGCGCTATGTAGTTGGTGGAAGTGAAATCCCTGTTGTCACTCAGCAGGTTGATCTAGGTATCGTCCACACCTCAGTGCTTCACTCTGGGGACAATTGGAGGAAGGCTGCTTGTAGAGGGTTCCGTATGATGTGGTTTATTCGCCGCTCCTTCGGTGTCCTAACGGCCAATATCTTTGTGAAGCTGTTCTCAGCTTTTGTGCGACCCCACTTAGAATACTGTATCCAGGCTTGTCCACCTTGTCTTGTAAGGGACAAAATGGAACTGGAGAGGGTTTTGCGAGTGGGTACAA